TGTGTGTGTGTGTGTGTGTGTGTGCGTGCACGTTTGTTTGTAATACCTTGTGGGGACGATTTTCCTGACATATACTACGTTGTGGGGACCAGTTGCTCCTTGTGGAGCGGAGCCTGGTCCACACAGGGGGAAACCCTGTTTTTGGGTCAGGGGTCAGAGTTAGGGCTAAGGTATGAATTGAATTTTGGTTGGTTCGGGTTAGGTATGTGATGGTTAGGGTTAGGAAAAGGGTAAAGGTGGTTTAGGCTGTAGAAATGAATGGAAGTCAGTGGAAAGTCCCCACAAAGATAGCAACACAAACATGTGTGTGTATGTGTGTGTGTGTTTTGAATAGTCCTTACCACAGCACTCAGCTCACTTCCCCATTGAAAAGGTGCCCGGTTCCAGTCAACAGGCCCCTTTTATTAGGATGATTATCTCCTCCTGCCCCATGGGAACCTCCAGACTGCAGCTTCTCGTTAATTAATCTTTGACAAGGCGAGTTCACAAACATGTTAATGGAAAGGACACTAGGCTGGAGGCGAGCCGGTTCATTTTTGCATAATTATCAGCATTTCACACAGTTTTTTCAGCAGTTTGCTGACCTTGGGTGACTTTTTCTCCTTCCAAGTTTTTTTTTTGTAAAATATCGAGGCGAAAAAGCTCACATTCTTTCTAACAACATCCAAATTTAGACATTTCTTGCTCCCTCTTTCTACATTTAACATGTTAAAAGAGCAACAAGTCTTCAAAGACATTCAGCTGTTACCACAGCAGCAAGAACAAAATTTGAAAACTTTTAGTTTGAGAATGTTGAATCAGTGGTGAAGAAAAACCACAGCGTTAGAAAACAGCTTTAAGAAATCACCAAATAATAAATATCTTTTTTAACTATTTTAATAAAATAAATAAATGCTTCTGAGCCATTTTGCCCCATTTTTTTGTGGTACCAGTGGTAACAAAACCTTTGATATTAATATAAATAAACTAAAAACAAATCTAAGCTTAACATGAAAGTTCCCTTTGTTGCTTCTCTGAATGAAATGGACTCCAATTAAAGGTTGTATGAATCTTTCATAAATAAATCTCTGCTGTGATGTTTGAGAAGCTGAACGCCATGATGTTAGCATGGAGCCATGCGGGGCTAACGGCGCGGCCTCGTCCTGATGTTTCATACAAAGACAGATTTGCCCAGAGGAACAAAGTGACTCATCATCCATCTGTTTGTCTCTGCGCTGCCCGTCCTCTCTTGCTCCACGTCCTCACCGTCTCTGACATGAAATCTGATGGGTTAGATTAAGAAACGAGCAGATGGATGCTGCATGTGAAGAGCCCGTTTGGCACGGCGCTAAGCAGAGCTGATGGCAGAATAAGTAAAGCGGCTCTGCTGTTTTACTCCTCCTCACATGCGCTCAGTATTTCACACAATGACGAGGAAGCTTATCTCTGTCTTCCACCGCGTTTACTACTTCCTCCCTCCTTCTGAATTTCTCCCTCAGCTCGTCGGTGTCCGGTTTGTCTTGCTACCGAGCTTTTTGCTGCTGCTGCCAGGAGGAAACGGCCGGCTGCGGATTATCGCTTCCTGCACCATAAAAACATCTGCTTGCTGCAAGTTTTCATATCTCTGGAACTTTTCCATGTTTTGTTTCCCTGCAAACTAAAACTTTACTGTATTTTTTAAAAGTTATTTCTTATTTTGGGTTTGAAGCTTTTTAGCGACACTCGACAATGAAGGAACGGAAACAAGTGATGCTGGCATGAAAATGTAGAAAAAGTAAAATATGTTCATGTATTTTGATTATGTAACTTTGAATCAAAAGATTACTTTAGATTACTAGAAATTATATGTTAATATTGATGAGCAAATAATTATTATACCAAAATGTTTTATCATTAAACAGGCCATAAAAGCGTTTATGACGGTAAAGAGATTGTTTATGTTTAGCTGCAGGATGAACACTGACTGTTATGTTTAAATGAAACTCGTAACACTGATTTAATGTTGCAAAATGAGTTAAGATCTCAGTAATGAAATTATGCTGTATTTAAAGAACTTATGATGAAAAAGCAATGGTTGTTCATGCTTTTTGACTCAGTTTAAAAGTATTTTTTGATTAATAAAATAATTAGTATTATTTTATTGAAGCTAAGATTGTCTGTTTTACTCCTTAACTGCCTGATGTATCTAATTAGCATCATAGCTCAATTTGGTGCAGTGTGTCGCGTCTAAAATCCTCCGTTATTTTTAATTCCTGATATGAACTGCATCATGCTGCCTGTTTCTGAACAATAAATCAATTCTATCGATTGATTTTTTTGTAATTTAAATGTTTTGAAAATTAGATTTTTTCCGCTGTAGCATTCCTTGTGTTTCCATGGTTCAGACTGATGTAAAAGAACTGCCATCTTGTTTTGTTTATTCTGAAGTTGAATTCAGGTGAACTCAAAGAAAAAGTTACTGAACTATTAAGATATTTTATGTAATTTCTGTGTTTTTAAAAAGTGAGGAAAGAAATCAAGATTAGTGTTTACTTTAAGGCCAGCATTAGTCTGAACATTTTATTAGAAATAAATTTTCCCATTTTCTGATGTGTTTCTCCCTCTTTGGTTTGTTTCATGCACATTAAAAATGTCCTCTGGATTATTTTTTGCAGAAATTCATTAGGCGTCGTTGAAAATCCAAATTTCATGGAGCTTCTTTATCAGGCTGCTCTGCAGGTGGATCTGTGGCCAGAAAAGATGAGTTTAGTTGGATTTAGCTGCAGGAAAAGGGCCTTAGCTGACGACACATCAGCTTGATGTAAAGTTTGACATTTTGCTAGAGCTTTTGCCAAACACAGAAAACTGTGAAGAAATCTGCGGCAGCTGCTGCTGGTCTGAACGATCCTCTGTTCCTCCCTCTTCACTCTCCTACATGACATTCCTTCGCCAACAAAGCAGCGCTCTGATGTTCAGGGATGGGCTCGCTTCGCCCCGATTGACTCTACGCTCAGCCGAACGTTGTCCATGTTTGACTGGTGGGCAGAAACGTTCCCATGCAGCTTTAGTTTTACATTATCATACATTCTCTGAGAAATGGGCAAAAATTAGACATTCAGCCGGATTATGTAACTTATTTAACACAAATGTGCCAGATTTCTTTTTACTTAGAGCTAAGAAGTGACTAAAATTAAAGTTGTGTTTTCTTTTGGTTGATGGTTGAGGAAGATGAAGCCATGAATGTGATGCACCTTAAAGTGAACAAATCTTATTTTTAAATCTTTCCTTTTCACATTTAAATCAGTCATTTGTGGTCTGTGTATAGTGAAACTGCGATGCTTTGCTCTGAATTCCTCTTTTTAAGGTTCGTTTCAGAGCAACTTGTCTTGGTGCCGTCTCTTTAAATGCAAATGAGGCGCAGGCCGCCGCGAGCTAACAGCTAGCACACAGCGCTAACATTAGCACAAGATGCGTTTTGCTAGCAAAACAATGATGTCATCAGCATGCAATAAATTCATGTCTAAAATAACAGATTTTCTAATTTTAGTGTTTTTTTGCATCTTTCCCTCAGATATAACTGAGTATTTTTATCTTTCTGTAAATCCTTCGTGATGCTAGCGGAGGTAGCTAAATGCGCTGCGTAAACAAAGAGGACTTTCTCTGCTGATTAAAATAAAATCTAACCAGGAAATTCAAAGTGGTTCTGATCCTTGTGTGGGTTAATAAACTCGGCCACTCAACATTTGGACTTGTTGCTTTGTGGTCACTGTGGACTCATGAAGTTGATTAGCTGGAAATTTAACAGTTAAAAAAACTGAATGGATTCAAAGATATGACCGATATCTTTGAACGCAGCACTGGGCAGAAGAACTGAGCTTTTATACTCCAAGTGCACAAACAAATGTATTTAAGGGTTAAAAAGGGGATTTTTCTTCCTCTGAACTTTCCTTTGTTTGCTCACCGGCTGAACATTTTCACAGGGAAAAGAGAACAAACTTGTTACGCTTCATGTTCTCTGCATGCTTGCCTCAGCGTTTATGTGTCTTGGACAAACAAAATGTTTCACCGCTTTAATTTGTCAGCATGTGACCTGCAGACAGACGTTGGGCTGCATCTCCTTCCCTCCCCATTAATCTCATCTCATAGCAATTAATGTCTAATTAATGTGCTGCAGTGATGCTCCTGTGTTTGCATGAAGCTGTGTTTGTTTCCCTTTGAATTGGGAGGTGTGTGTCGCCGTGTGTGTGAGGTTAACAGGAACAGCGTCACAGGATGTTAAAGATCTTCCCTGAGCCAGTTTGTGCTGACTCACAGAGACGTAAACATAAACACGACGTGACACCAGCAGGGCTGCCGGATCGCCTCACAATCAGACTCACGGCTCTGTGAAAAGTTTTATAGATTTATTCCGAGTTTGATGGTTTTTGTTCCACTTATGTTTCTGCTGGTTTTCTAGCTGTTTTTGTATCTGATCGGTATTGGCCGATACTAAACCACAGATATCGGTATCGGAAATGAAAAAAATTGATCAGTGCATCCCTAAAAGCTCTAAATCTGATGATAAAAACACACTGAAACTGACTAAAAAAACATTAAAACATTAAAATTGGCGTCAAAAATACGGAAACTGATGTTGAAAACATATAAACTGTTAAAAACAGTTTATATGTTGGGCTGCATCTCCCAACATATAAAGTTGGTTTAAGTGTAGAAACACTTAAACCGACTAAAAAAAATTCAGAAAGTTATGATTAAAAACATGTAAACTGATTGTAAATAACACAGAAACTAACAGGAAAAAAAAACATGGAAACTGATTATAATACTGATATGTTGTGTCCCTGGTTTAGTCTCTCACCTAATATGACTTCATGATGTTTTTATGATGTAAAGCTCTTTGTTGCTGAAGCTTTATGTAAATAAACGTAACGCCTCATTAGGAGTGAAGCTGAAACCGGCTGCCGCTTTAATCCCTTTCATGCAAATGAAATCGTGGAGTTCAGTGTTTTCATGGGATTTCTTCGTCTGCCGCTCCTGTGCAGGTGAACTTCGTGGCGTGTCAGCTGTTCGCTCTGCTCATGGCTGTGTGGTTCCGGCTCTACCTCCATCCCAGTAAAACCAGTCCCTTCATCAGACATGTGGTGGCCACCCTCCTGGGTCTGTACTTGGCTCTGTTCTGCTTCGGCTGGTAAGGCGCCGCCATGTTTATCCTGCATTTTCATGAGAAATGCGCACAAAAACTTTGTCGGTCATCTGCTATGTTTTAAATAAGAAAAGCAATTAAAATCACACATGAAAAAGTTTGTTAATGTGATAAGTCATTAAAAAACATGCAGCTCTATGATCCTCCTACCATTTCCTGTTGTTTCTTTGTCGTTTCTGCCAGTAGTAACATCCAGTAGCTCATCATGTGACTCGTGGTGCAAAAAAATGATTTTTCCACGTAGTTTTAAGAAATCGATGCGGCTGAGAAACCTCCTACTAGAAAAGCTAAGAACGTTTAACTTTTGCTTCTGGGTGAAAAACGTTCTGCACATTTTAATGGTTTTATTTGACTTTAATTTCCCTGCAGCCGCCATGTTTCAGAGAAATGCAGCATTACTGCACCGGAATGAGGCTGACAGAAATTTAATTCAACATTCGGTGTTCTAGCTGAGCACAAATTCATGAAAACTAATTTACAGAGTTTGGTTTGCCTCCAGGTGGCGCTACTGTGACTTTATTTAAGATATGTGTTACAACAATTTTAATGTTCCTGGTTAAAAATAGGTTTAAAAAATTAAGATTATTTGTCAAATTGTTTCAAATTCCTGCTGCTTCTAGTAATTTGATACTGAAATTAAATGAAGTGTTTTATTATTTGACTTCCTGGAGGCGGAGCTTCAGAAAGAGCAGGAGCTTTTAAAGAGACAGAGGCCCAATTTCAACTTGTTAAATCAGAAAGTTAAATTTATTTTAAGTCATATTTGATATATATATCATTTTCATAATGACAGTTCTGCTATATAATGGGACTATGTGCCTGGAAACACATATTTTGCCGTCGTGTTTTCGCCTGTTTTTGTTTTGCCGTCGTGTTTTCGCCTGTTTTTGTTTTGCCGTCGTGTTTCCTCCTCTCCTCGTTGTCTGCATTGACTCTCGGCTAACTCAGAGCGGCGTCTCTGCTCTGCTGCAGGGCTTGACGTCGGTCAGATCACGGCGCTGCTGGACTCGGTGTTTCTGTGTTTCTGCTCTCCTGCGGCGCTCTGATGGTGCAACCTGTTCCAATATCATAGGGATGAATTTTTAGGAGTTTAGCTGAAATAAATTCAGATTTCTCTCCTGTGCTCTGACTGCCTGGACCCTGCTGCATTGCTCAATAATTGTTGATATGTTTGTGTAATATTTGTGTGACATTTGTCTTGTCTTTAAAGGTATTCGGTCCATTTTCTGGTGCAGAGCGGCCTCTCCTACGGGGTGATGATCTTTGCCAGCCTGGAGCACATGCACAAGTAAGACAGCAACATTTTTCAGTGAAGCATTTATGGTTCTTTCTCCAGGATGGTGCAAATCTGCAGGAACTTTTAAACACACAAACTAGTGCGGGTTGTACTTCATTTTGCCCAGTCCAAAGTTATAAATAAACCTCATAAACAAAGTTAGCATCACTTTTAGCAAAGCAGGCGTCAGAACTCAATTATTTGTTCTGATTTTGTAATTTTTTTTTATTACGTTCTAGTCGTAATTTTCCCGTTTCCCGTCAAAACAGCCCACATCATGATACTTCCACCGCCTTTTAGTCCATGGTAATGCCATGGTCTGCTATCCTGGATTCTTAATTTATAGATTTCAACATGAAGCTGCTCCATTTGTGAGGTCAGACACTGATGTTGGACGGCAGGAGACAAAGCCTGCAAGTTCCCTCAGAAACTAGCTGAGCCTGATGCAGGGGAGCCTCAAGATTGACAGAAAATGTGACTGCATAGTGATAAGTTATTAGAAGATATTGTTGATGATACTTTAACACCAGCTGGAGGTGGAGCAGATGATGAAGTTCTGGTCCAAACAAGCTGAGTCTATCAGCTCATTTGCAGGAATTAAAGTGTATTCCATAACATTACTCTGTAAATTAAACCTTCTTTATAGTTTATCACTTTTAGCTTTAATTTGTTCAGCTTTGCTGATTCATCGTCCAGGTTTGTGACCTTGACTCGTTAAGGTCACCACATTCAGGTTATCCCCAAAAGATAGGAAATTTATCTTATTGTTTGCCGTTTATTGTGAAAAATTTCTTATCATATTTTTGATTTATTTTCATGTTAAATTTCAGTTATTTATATTAAATAAAAAAAATGGACAGTATGATCAGAAGTTTTAGTCATTTTCTCCACGTTTCGTGGCAGCATCAATTAATGTAAAAAAAGATGATTAAATACAGTTGCTGTGCATTTTAGAGATATAACTAAAAGTTGTCCAGCAGTAAAGTCCCAGAACTCGCTGACATGTCGCTGTTTGCTGAGGTTACTGAACCTTCCAGGTCTTTGCATAACAAATGAATTTCTGACCCGGTTCAGGTCGGAAGCCCGCGGCTTTCTGAGCGGACACGGCGATCCTTTGTTTGACCTGCGACCTTTGCTCTTGGAGCTCGACCTGACATGGTTACACCTGCACGGCTAGCAGAGCGATTAGCATAACAGCAGAAAAATAAACGGAGGCAGGAAATGGAAGAAAGATATGAAGAAATATTCACAGCTAATCGCACTGAGCTTCTTTCTTTCTGTCTTTTCTTTGTTTATTTCTGTTTTCTTTGTTTTTCTGCCTCTTCACTCTGATTTTTTTTCTGTCTTTGTCTGTCTGTCTATCTACCTATTAATCTAATCTAATCTCTCTTCACTTATATCTGCCAAGTAGAAGCACAAAAATCTGTGAAACTCTTAAAAACAAAAAACAACAGGACTTTATGGGAAGCGCTGGTTTGGGACAAACAAAGGAAAAGCCAATTTAATGTAATTTAAACAATTATTCTCTATTTGTTGAGGATTTACAACATTAATTCACTGTGATCTGCTGCTTCACAGTTCGGTCTGATGCAAATTTCCTCTATTTGACTAATTGAGCAAACAAGTTGCAGCAAAGCGAGGAATGCTGCCGGCACACAGGCAGTAAATCCAGTCAACACAAATATCCTTTACGGTCCCACAGTGAAGAGATTAGCAGCAAAGTGATGAAAAAAGTCATCCGCATGCAGAGAAAAATAAGAGTAAAAGACTTTAGTAACGTTTTTTAAAAAATGTCATATGCAAAGAATGTAAAACTGAGTGCAGTCATTTAATAATAAAATTCACCTGCACTTCTCAGTCCCTCAGTTTTTCATAGAAATTCACACAAAATCATCAAATACTTTCCACAGCATGTCAGGGCCACTGCAGAGAGAAAGCAAAAAACAACAAAAAAAGACCACATTTTTCAGAAATTTTCTGAAAAAAAGGAAATTCCTGAGTTTCGAAAGTCAAAAAGTTTCAACTTTTCAAACTCAGAAATTTTTTGCTCAAAATTATTTGAGAAAAAAATTTTGGGGGGCTGAAATTTACTCTTTTATCTACAATTTGAAATAAAACTTTGTTTTAGATCTCAGCATTTTTCTGTGCTAAAACATAACTGAGTTTGTTACAAATTTCCTACAAAAACAGTCGCAAACATTGAATTTAAGTGATGCTAACTCCTAATTTAAAAAAATGTAATTCATAAAAATTAAAACAGAAACAGTGGAATTTGAGGAAAATGAATCAACATTTAGAAAAAAAAAGCAGATTTTATAGAGCCCTAGTTCATTTTTCAATTTGAGAAATCCCTTAATCTCCATGGCAACCATTCAGTTGTGCAAAACTCCTGAGTGGACGTAGCCCCGCCTTCGAGGTGCAGCTCCTCCCCCACTCAGCTCCTTCAAACTAGCCAGCAGCAATTGGCAAACATTTGAATATCTCATGTTAGGAGCTACGACTCAGTGACTAAAATGTTGTTAAAGGGTTAATAGAGGAGCCATGTTGGGATGACTTCCTGGAGGCGGAGCAGGAGTGTCTTAAAGTGACAGAGGCCCAATTTCAAGGCGTTAAATCACAAAGTCACATTTCTTTAACATATTTGTTTGATTGTGCTGTAAAATGGCCGCCATGTGCCTGGAAAATGTTTAACACTGACCCTTTGAAGGCGAACATATGTGACTGTATTTACAATATTTATTGTGAAGGATGCAAAAGAAAAAGCATGTCTCTGTTGTTTCTGTTTCTTTAGGTACTGCTTCATCGTCACCCTCGGTTACCTGATCCTCTGTCAGATCACAAGAGTCTACGTGTTCGACTACGGCATGTACTCTGCAGATTTCACTGGGTGAGCTTCTCTACCACTGCACGTTTTAAATAAAATCTTTACATGAAACATCCTAAATGACGCTGGAAGCGCCGAGTCAGTTCCCTCTTCGCTAGACGGCCTGCAGGTTGGAGGAGGCTGGTTGCTAAGCAACGTAACGCAAACCCAAATGGGCCGTCCGTCTGTTTGGCTTCAAAATGTCAAATCAAATATGCTTCTCTGAACCGAACGCCTCTGTTTGGTCGTTTATTATGCGTGGATTTATTCTGCTGATACTAGCAAGAAGAAGAAGCAGAGAGATGACTAGTGCAACACTCTTAGAGGCATGAGGAAGAGGAGCAGGAAGGAAGAGCAACAGGAAGTTAAAAAAGCCCCTAATTATCCAGGAGGGAACTTCCCACTGTAAGGATACTGGTGCAGCTGGTTCTGTTGCTGCTATTACTGGGCTAATTGGTATCTGAGCCCATTAGGTGGACGACAAAACAAAACAAATTGAGGATAACAGGAAAGCTTTTATTAGCTGAAATGACTAACACCTGGAAAATGAGTCATTTCTAGCAGAAATATTCGGGCTTTAATGTATTTTACTGGGATTTTAAGTGATGAAGAACACAAAGTTGTGCATAAATCAAAATATGTCTGTCGCTGAAATCGGACAAAAAATGTGTCTAAAATGGTCATAATTTTTCCCATTTAATTTGTACTTCATGTTGAATCAAACAGAAATAAATGTCATAAATGTTGTTTGCTTGTTTTGCTTTTCAGGCCCATGATGGTTATAACCCAGAAGATCACCAGCATGGCGTTTGAAATCCATGACGGTAAGACGCGCGCGGCTTCCTGCTCCTAAAGCGCCAGATGAGGCAGAAGTGAAAGTGCCACTTTGATTCTCTGAGGAGTTTAAAAAATAAAACGTTATTTTTGAGACGGCTCGACCAGTGGAGCAGAAAGAGAGCGCAGGCGCCGTTATGTAATGGGTTTATGGCCAACAGTTTCCTGAGGCCGCAGATTGAGCTCCAACAGGCTGTAAACTAGGAGTCGATTAAAATGTCTGTAATTAATCAATCGGATTTTAATTGAGAAAATAAGCAACTCATTCAATTCAAAAACCTCTTTTTGCTGCTAAATTACTGAATAAACAGACGCATGAAATCAACAACAGAGATATTTATTGTTTTTATTCTACAATTCAGGTTATTTTAGACATTAGCATTAGCTGCTACATGGTTAGCATTGAGATGCTACTTTAGCCTTGAATCGCTTCAGTGAGAGGCTAACTCCTTTTAGCACAACTTGAACACAACACTAGTATTTCTAATCAGATCGGTTTCTGAAGCAGAGATGAGCCTCCAGTGAGCCGAGAGGAGCGCTAACATCGCTGTTGTTAGCATGTGTAGCTTGTGCGTGTACCAGAAACGAATTCAAAGGTTCCAGTTGGGAGTTTTTTTATGTAAAAAAGAAAAGTTCAGTTAATTGAGCTAAAATCTAGGTCATTAAATTAATCAAAATCAACTCAGTAAAGTCCCAGCCCTTACTTTTTATCATTCTTTTATCAATTTTTTACAGTTCATTCCTTTAATTTCCCTTTAAGTCATGTGTACAGTGAAACTCCTCCTCAGGTTTGGTGAATGTTGGTCTTAATGAAGCGTAGTTTTATTTAAACAGTTTTGGTTTTTGCGCCCAATGAACTGAAAAGCTGCCGGTCTCCAACAATAAAGCGATCTCTGGAGGTCATGACCTTTTGCTCATGTTTATGTTGCTCCGCCATCACGGCTGCCCTCTGAATCCTGAACACCTTGACTGTTAAACCTGAATGTGTTTCGCAGCGTGCATCATGCTAGTGTGTGTGTGTGCAGGTTTGTCGAAGCGCAGGGAAGGACAGCTGACTCCCAGTCAGAAATACCTAGCTATCAGGTATGTGACTAAGGTATGTTTTAATGCTCCGACGGTTGAATTTAACATCTTGTCTGTTTTAGAGTGTAAGCCTGCGCTCTGGTGGTGTTTTAATCAAGGTGTTCTCGCCGGCTGCTGTCGGTGAATCATTTTACGGGAATGCCTGTAATCTGTTCTTCCTGCTTTGCGGATTGTTTTCCCTCTCAAATCTTCTCTGATGGAGATGAAATATTGCTGCAACAACGCCGCTCACGCTACGAGGCGGGACTTCCTTTATTAACATGAATACACAGCCAGAGCTGCAGTGAAACAGCTCAACTCAAAGCATGGCCTAGTCAAAGTCGAGATCTAAATTCCATTAAAGAGGCGGTATTATGTGTTTTCCAGGCATAGTGACATTTTATAGAATAATCAAGTAACTTTGTTTCCTTCAGTTGTTTTAAAAATGTTGTGTACATCAAATATGGCTAATATAAATTTGACTTTGTAATTTAACACACTGAAATTGGGCATCTGTCTCTTTAAGAACTTCCTGCTCTTTCTTAAACTCTGCCTTCAGGAAGTCATCCCAACATGGCTCCTCTAATAACCCTTTAACAACGTTTTTACCAGAGAAGTGGCTCCTATAATGAGCTCGGCAGTTGTGCAATTCCACCAGGTGTTTGCTAATTGCTGCTGGCTAGTCTGAAGGAGCTGCTGTGTGAGGTTGAAGTTTGGAAACTGCAGTTCTAGGGAGGAGCTGCATCTCGAAGGCGAGGCTAGGTCCAACCAGGTGTTTTTCATAGCTGAATGGTTGTCATGGAGATTAAAGGATTTCTCAAACATGCAGGAAAAGTCAAAGCAACACTCCATGTTTGTTTTTGATAAGAGAAAATCTTGATGAAAAGCTGAAAAAAGTTGATTTAGCATAATACCGGCCCTTTAAGAATTTGTGGTGAAATTTAAAAATTTATGTTCAGAAACACTCTGCGCCACAGAAAACCTGCAGCAAACAGGACGTTTTATTTGGGATTAGCTCAGAGTTTTGCTTATTTGTGTTTTTCTGTCGCTTCACATCCTGATAACGAGCGTCTCCTGTTCTGCTCAGCCGGATGCCCAGCCTGCTGGAGTACCTGAGCTACAACTGCAACTTCATGGGCATCCTGGCGGGACCTACCTGCTCCTACAACGACTATATGGCCTTCATGGAGGGGACGTCGTACCAGCGCCGCCACCAGGAGAACGCTAACGGCAAGGAGAACGGGAAGGCCAAGAAGCCCGAGCCTTCACCAAAGGTACCGGTCGGATCCAGATCCACTCACCTTAAATCAGCTCAAATGACTCAAACAGAAAAGGCTGTCAAGCTAAACAGTCATTAAATCTGAAACTTTGAGGCTTTTTTTAGAGCAAAGGTTTAAATAAAACATAAAGTGGAGCTTCAGTTATCAGCATTTCTGTCCTTTCTTCTACTTTGATTTGCCAGTTTTGGCCAATAATGCAAGAAAATAGAAGAAAAAATATTTTTCAGGAGCTTCTTAAAGAGACAGAGGCCCAATTTCAAGGCATTAAATTGAGGCATATTTGATGTGTGTAGTGTCTTTACATCAACTGAAGGTAATATAATTGCTTGATTTTAATGTGAAACGGCACTGTGTGCCTGGAAAATACTTTCCCCTTTAATATGCTGCATTCACTGACTGTTAAAATGTCAGTCTTTTCAGTTTCCATCCTGATTTCATGGAGCATCTCCACAGGAACAACTGTTTGATGAATGCAAGTTTGCATTTTTTTGATTTTTAGAAGTATATTTATTAATAACTGGTTTGGTTCTTTAGAAGTGGCCTGTTGTTCTCCATTGAACTGATTAGCATAGATTTATGGCCTATACAAAACACGTTCATCATATTTTTTTTTCCCTATAAAATGATTCTCAGATAATGAGATTTCAGTCTGGTCTTTTCAGAATGAGCTGTTTTTAGGGCGGTAAAACCAGCTGAGCAACTGTGCTAGCGCTCTGCTTTGGTTGCTAGGTAACGAGTGGAACTTTGCGGGGTTGCTAGGTAACAGGCTGGTCTTGCCTGAGGTCACTGGGTGAGGGGCAGTGCCTGATGATTTGTGATGTTACATTCAGAAGAATACCAAAAAAACTTCAACTCGGGTTGTTTTTAGAAGCAGTAAAAACCCAAAATGGAAATGAAACCAGAGTCCCCATCTACAGTAACCAGTCTGTGAATGAGAAGTCTCTCCTGATTCCTCCACCTGATCCATAATAAAGCGATTCATCGTCAGATAAACGAAGTGTTTTTATTTTTCCTTCCATGTCCTCCCAGCGCGCCGTGGTGTCCAAGCTGTGCACCTGCGCCATCTCTTTGACCACCTACCTGTCGCTCTACCGGCTGCTCCCGGTCGACCACTCCATAGACGAGTACTTCGTCAGCACCACGCCGTTCTACCTGCAGGTGGTCTACCTTTACCTGGCCATGCTGGCGCTCAGGCCTAAATACTACTTTGTGTGGACTCTAGGTGAGGAAACCTGAAGCTACAACCTGTGTTGTGTAATTAGGCCTGACGCAATAAGCAGTAAATCCATTAATCAATTAATCGTATTGTAAATTAAAACAAGGTTGCTTGTTTTGTTTTAAAACAGATTTATCTGTTGTTTTCTTTTCTCCGTTTCTGCCAAAACTGGATGATAAAAGACTTAAGTGTGGTGCTTTGCTCTTTCTTTTGAAGGACAAATTTGTTTACAGAGACTTATGATTCATTTTATTTGTTGTTTTGGTTGTTTTACTTATTTACTTTCAGATTTTAAATGTCTCCCAGTTCCTGTGTTAAATGCCCATTAGAATTTAAAGCTTATTGATCTTTGAGAATGTGTTCTTGCATTATTATGCCATCAAATCAAAAATGTAATTATCACAATAAACTCCCTGACCAACAGAATTAAACAGTATTTTTATGTAAAATCATTTCCCAGTGCAACATTGCCATCTAGTGTTGATGTGAGAACTGCATCCTATTGTATTTCATGAGGAATCTCCTGTTTGTGTGTCTGCAGCCGATGCCATCAACAACGCAGCCGGGTTTGGCTTCAACGGCTACGACACAGATGGCTCGCCGCGCTGGGACCTGATTTCCAACCTCAGGATTCTGGATATCGAGGTTCGGCGACGTCGTTCGTTTACCTTTTGGATTTCCTTTCCATCTGATTCCTGAAGTTTTATTGTTTCCTTTCAGTTTGCCACAAGTTTCAAGCTCTTTCTAGACAACTGGAACATTCAGACAGCTCAGTGGCTCAAAAGGTAACAGAGGATTATTTTTATTTCTGCGTTTTTATGATGCATTTTAATCGTTTTCTGGATGGGAGATTTGAAATTATTTTGCAACACACAACTTAAATTAATTTCTTGAACAGGTTTTGATTGTTTTGTGGAGTTTCCTGTATTCTGCACAGAGTTAAAAACAATGAAGAACAACATAAAGTTTTAAATTAAGATATAACAATAACAGGTATTTTTAATTTCCACATCAGAATGACAATAAAACTATATGTAATATTTGTTTCCTATAATTTTCTACAAATATTAAAATAGAAGAAAATCAGTCCATAAATAAGAAGGTTTATTTTTCTTTATTTTAAAACCTAAAAGTAGAAATAAGATGATGGTTCCTTTCAAATGACACAAAAACATCCTGTAATAAATATTTTTATGAAATAATACACCATCTTTTTACAAATATGTAACAATTCTTCTAATTTAGTTTTTTTTTGTTGGCTCTTTAGATTATAAAGGGTTGCTGACGCCTGAAATAGACTTAAATATATAAACGCACTCCCACTAATATTCAATTCAAAATGTATTTATTTATTTGAGCCTATACGTATAGTTTTGCATAATAATTTCCCTTTTGTTAAAATCTCTAAATTAAAATGGGTTTATCCCCATAAACCTCTGAGTAAAAGTGTAACTTTGCTAACTAGCTTAGCTATTTCTGCTGATATTTCCTGATTTTTCCATGAGCCCTGAATGCACTGTGTTGTCTTCCTCAGAGTTTGCTACGAGCGTTGCCCCGTCAACCCGACGACCGCCACCTTCCTGCTGTCGGCCATGTGGCACGGTGTCTACCCCGGCTACTACCTGACCTTCGTCACCGGCATCGGGATGACAATGGCCGCCCGCGCCGTGAGTTCACTTTTCTCCTTCAGCACCAAAGGTTTTCCAGAATCTACTTGAAATTTTCAGAAATCCACATCCCAGTTGCTGGAAGAGAAAGAAGCAGTTCTCCCCAAAAAGAAAAAAAAATCTGAAAAGTGTGGTGTGCATTTATATTTAGCCCTTCAAACACCTGGCTCACACGACAGGACTTTTATTCCGATTTTGGACAGCTGGTAGCTACGAAGGTGTCCCGAATTTTCAGTCGTAAGCCAACTTCAGCGGCCGCTTCGTCCAAACTATAAAAACCCCCGACGGTGAAGCTCTGAGTCCATGAGAGCCGCCAGCTGAAACACGTTCTGTCTGAGCGGCCACACGAAAAATAAAGTCAGGAGTAATAACACTATTTTCTAATGAAGTTAATGAGCTTCAGCTTATTGATAACCCGGTAGTAGGTCGCCATCTTTCTTGAAGCAAAGTACAGGTGACGCTAACCAACCAATTGGGGAAGGTGTAGCCTGATGAC